CACAACTTGAAGACTATTGTACACCACACAACTTGAAGACTATTGTACACCGCACAACTTGAAGACTATTGTACACCGCACAACTTGATAAAGCTTCAGAAAATTTCGGCCTTGAGTGCTTTGAATGCACCGTAGTATTCAGTAAGCTGGCAACATTTATAAAAAAATTCTGCTGCATAAGAGGACGCACATTGAGGACGTAAATTAAGGACGCACATTGAGGACGTAAATTAAGGACACACAATGAGGACATGAGGACTCAAAACACGAATATTATGACGCACAAAAGTGTCACAAACATACATCCCAACTTTATTTAATTAACTAGTTTGGAAACCCAACTTTGGCTGGAAATTAAAAAAGTAAATTCACTCAACTTAGAATTTTTTAGCCAAGTTACGACCTGACAACAGACAAAACAGACAGACAAAAAGAGATTTCTACATAAAATTACTTGAATTCAAGAACCCATTTCAACATCTCCTTGTCGCTGTTCTCCATGAGATAGGTGTAGTCCCCGCCGGTATGCCAGGGATAGCAGGAGTGGAACCTGTTCATTTAAAGGGACTGTAAGCGTATATTTAAGTGACCCTCCATGCAAAGATGACAATGCAAGATTCACAATGGTACCCTTAAAAGCTTTGTCTGATCAAGTACAGAATTAGATTATAATTTGAACACGGTTTATTTTCAATTGTAGTTTTGCTCTATACATTCTACTGGAGGAAAGCATATAGAAGTTATTAGAGACGTTTAAACCTAGAAATACGACATCTTCCAGACTTTGATCAGATAAAGGTGTCAAGGCTACTGGTGAATCAGGCATTGTCATCTTTGCATTGAGGGAAACTTAAAATTCCGCTTACAGGTCCTTTAAGACATTTCTAATGACCCCGAATTCCGTTTAAAGTTACAATTCCGATCTACAACAGTAACCTCCGAAACCTTAGTCTGAGCACATAACTAATGGGAAAGTCCTAGTTTTTTCTATCTAAAATTGCTCAATTCTCCTTACAAGTGAACATGCGTAATTTGTGCAACGATTGGAGTAATGTGGGAAGTTTACTTGAAATTACATCTCGCTATAGTCCCATGTACAGTTGTCCTTCAAAAACAAAGAAATACACTAAATATACCTGATTGCCGCTAATCCAGGATCAGGAATACTTGTTCCACATTTCTTCATGTGATGCAACAACACCTTAACATCATCTAAATTCNGGGGGGGGCGGGGGAATGAAAAAATTGTGCGTCCGAAGGCAAAAAATCGTTGATTATCCCCTAAACATTATTTATTTTTCCCCATTCAGTGAATTAAGCCACCAACATTTTTGTTGACCTATCTAAGCTATTTTTTAACGACAGCAATGATCAATTTATTGAATTAGCCATTCTAATCAACAATTTGTTGATCAGTCTACTGATCAACTCATTCACTTATTGATCATACTAATCACCATTTAATTATCTTAACCATAAATTGATCAACTTAAACACCAATTGATCAACTTAACAACCAGTTGATAATCAATTAACCACCAATTGATCATCTTAATCCTCAATTGATCATCATAATTAACAGATCATCTTAACTACCAATTCATCAATTGATCGTATTTATCATTAATTAATCATTATCATAATTAATTTGTTAATTGATTGAGTCATTAATTTATTGATTTCTAGAATACCTGATAAAGATACTCGTCATGTCCCCAGGACATGATTACGTTGTTAATCCCGCAGTTCTCCTGATAGATCCCTAGCCTCGTGTTGTACCTGTAAAGGGGTTGTTCACATTTTTGGAAATTAAACCCCCAACAGGTTCAGGTAACACAACCAAATCAGTCCAAAAAGGGTATTTTCAACCGATCAAAATTTGTATTAAAAGAAAATTGCACACAGTAATTATTCAGTAATTTGACCGGGGGGGGGGGGGGCTTAAATATATGTTCTTTTTTCCAGGGGCGGATTCAGAACCCGTTGGTACCTGAAAACTCCCTGAACAAGTATATATTTCACTGGTCCAGGGGGTGGGATAAGCCCCGATAGCCCCCCCCCCCCCAGATTCAAATAGAATGTTTCATAAAAAGCAGAGCTTAGAGTTCATTTTATTTTGATGCGGATCCTAAATCAACCCTGTAAAAAAATAGATCGGATCCAGGTCATGGACATTTCTTTAAGATTTACTGATTTTAAATCAGATTTTTTTATCAAATCTTTTTCTTTCTTTTTTCGCTTATTTTTAGACTGAAACTTAATAAACTATTCACAGTTTAGGATCTTGATTTGATAATGGCTCATTAGTCAACAGTTGAAAATAATGTTTTGAGAGCAAAAGTAAGGTTTTGGTTGGTATTTTGCCCCTTCGATTCAAAATGTACAAAATATCCTGATTTTTTACTTTAAGATCACACCTAAAACTAGTGTATATATAATTATATATATTCATGCGTAAAATAGTTACAAAATAGTTTTCGTTTTCAGCTTCGGAATTCTTCAAAAAATTTAGCCAATTTTGAACATTGACAAATTTTAAATTAACCACAACTCGATCTCACATTAACGACATTTCTTGAAGAATTCCGATTAAATGGACATTTATAGAAAAAAAGAAAATTTAAAGAAAACGTCACCTTGAGTCATTTCTGTCCTTATTTTTCTTGAAGCTTTCATCCCCGAAAACAATGGATTTCTACAGAAAACAAATCAGGACTGTGATTTCAAGTGACCTTTTAGTGAAAGAAGTGTATCCCTGATTGATTCACAACGATACCCTTACAAGCTTTGTTTGATCAAGCATGAATCACAAATCATTTTCAATCATGATTTTTCTAGTAACAGAAAAAGCTTAAGGAATTATCAGAATCAACCATTTTTGGACCTAAAATTATTTTATTTCTCACATAATTTATCAAATAAATGTTTCAAGGGTACCGTTGTGAATCGGTCATTGTCTTTTATGCATGCCGCATGAAGGTTCACTTGAAATTACATGCACAGTGCCTTTAATCCCACTAAACTTTAGACTACAGAATAGCATAGTATACAACTATTATGGCTAGACCATATTTTACTGGAAGGTCTTTCTTTAAACGTGAAACATGGCATGTAGAGAATACCTTCAAATGCAAAAAAATGAAAAATATGTTTTTAACAATTTTGAAATTAAAAAGATTTTTTTCGTGGCGTACTGACTCATCTTTACAGATCGATTTTGCTAAGAAATGAAAATTAAAAGAGAATACAAGAGTAACTATATAAAAAAATATTCATATCTACAGAGAATCTAATACAACAATTGAATAGAAAGACGACATTTAAGAATATTGATGTATTTGATATTGTTAAGATACAATCTTGATTATAATAATCGTTCTCCCATGATTAGATAGCAATGACATTGTAAAAAATGCATTAACTATTAATATTGGAAACTATGTATTATGGTTTTCAGGAGTTGGATTGAGACCCAATTGAACAAAATCCTTCATTTAGCATATTTATATATGTAACATACTAGCTGAAGGGCCCGGCGTTGCCCGTGAACAAAAATGAGTGTCCACAAAAAATGTCAGCCCATTTGGTCCAGACGTTTGGCCAGCTATAGGCAACATATGTATATATGAATGTCTTGTTTTATTATATAGATATACATTGGTCAACGTTTATATAAATAGAATTAATACGACTTTTCTATTAAAGTTTTCATTTATAACAAGTAAGCAAAGAGAGAGAAGCCGTTGATATACAGCTTCTCTTAATTTCCTTGTTTATACGTGTATCCATGCTGTACGAAAGCTTGGTAGAAATAAAAATTAAAAGCTTTAATCGTCTTCATTCTATTGATATACGAGACGAATACTATATGACATTTATAATCCCGCTGAAACTAACCTGAGGTTTACAACCAACAGGAAAAGTATCTCCTACAACCGCCCACTGAGGTTCTCCGAAGAAAGCCATAACCTTCCCTAGATCATGAATCAGTCCAACCAGATGAAACCAGTCATCATCAGGGTGGTCAGCTCTACAATAAAATTTGTTATCAGAGCTGAAAACTTTAGAATTGTGGATTTCGAGATCAATTCTAAAATTCTGAGTTGTATCTATGCAGAAGCCGGTTAATTTTAAACTTTGCACGCCATTTAACGAGAGAGCTCTTATTGGCCGTAATCCAGTAGGAAAATCCAAAAAGAGGGGGAAAGAGCGGATAAAGCAGAAATCAAAAGTGTTCACAGTGGATATTCAGATTAAGCAATCGGTATTAAGGGTATCCAATTCTGAAGTTTTCAGCTCAGAGGTCTGAACTTTTGTATTGTTAATCCCGTCTAAGAGCACTAATCCGCATATTTTGTGATCCAACGGATTGAGTTAATTTAAATCCATTTTCAAAGGCCACAACATTCTACCCTTGGCCTATGACAGATCATGAAAATACAAGTCAGCTGTCTTCACGGATAGAACACTTAATCTTTAAAATTTAAAAAGGATCTTTTCATGAAGCAATTAAGTTTTACACAATTTTAGCAATTTCTTACAGTAGTAATTTCCGCACAATGAAAGTCGCGAGTAAAAATCGAATTTTAGAATACAAAACTTTTACCTGCTGTTCAGCTGTTTGGAAAGCATAAAATATATTTGGAAGATCAAGATCAGGAGTTTACCTGATTTGTTCAGTTGCTAGGAAAGCGTAAACTATATTAGGAAGATCAAGATCAGGAGTTTACCTGATTCGTTCAGCTGTTTGAAAAGCATGAACTATATTTGGAAGATCAAGATCAGGATCACTCTCATCCACAAGATTATTCAACATCTCTAGGTAGCAAAAAAAGATGATTATAAAAAGACTTCTAAGATCATTGTGCTCTTTGTAAGAAACCTGATGTAAAATTGTATTAGTTTTTAAACCCCTGGGATTTCAGAAAACAAAATTACCGTAGATATAAAGAATTTCTTTCTAGTTTGAATAATAAACAAAAACTTAAATTCCAATTTATATAATTTTAATTTTTTACCAAGTGCTTCCATGACAGTTGCCTCCATATGATTAAATTTCATCCATAAATCCCTTTTCTCCTAATATCAGTCATATTATAAGTATTGTTAAATGTTTCTTGTTCCTAGTTCTGACAAAAAAATTTAAATTGTTGATTTTGAAAAAAAAATCAAAATTAGAAGAAATATGGACACTGCAGCTCAGAGACGTATATTCAGGAGTGGGGGGCGTACTCAGCGCCCCCCCCTGAATCAGTAAAATCTATGGTTTTAGGCCTTAGGGTTTAGGAAAAATTCCTAGGTACGTCCATGACAAGGGTCCATCAATGTCTTGTGATTAAAGCACTATATATGCATTATGAAATATATTCCTGAACAAAAGCAACAGTTTGATGAGTGTGCATTTCATAATAGGTTCTCTTCACTCGCTCTCCTATCTCATCTTCCTGCAGTAGACAATACAAGATAAGAAATAGAACTATACCGCAGTCGTATCTTTATTATCCTAAACCAGAACCCGGCCAGTTTCTCATAGCTGTAGAGATAGGCGCATTCAGTTTGTTTTTCATTTCGTTCGTTCATCGTTCGTGAACCATCCATTTCATTCCTTCAAAAACTTGATTTTGTTCGTTTGATCGTTTAAAATTATCGTTCATTCGTTCTTTTTTCTGAACGACACTCGTTCAAAAAAATTTCGTTCGTTCTCAAAAATGTTGTTCGTACGCAGAAATTATGCTCTTTGCTCATATACAGGTTTAAGGATTAGACCAATGCAAGCACGAGAGGTGGATTATTTTCGCACTTAAAGGGACCGTTCACTTATTTGGGTAATTTCAGGGTAAACTGAACTGCCTATTCGCTCTTGATTGGTAATAGTCTTACTTTTTAAATACAATTGTGGCCGGAGAAAAAGCCGATTTTTCGTTCAGAATTTGAGCTGAAAGGGACGGTCCCTCTCTATAGACACTATTTGATGTTTTTTCAGTAACAGCAGCCCAATGACATTTAAATTTATTATATTTTAATGTCATTATGTGTTCGTTATTATGAACTAAAATATGAAAACTTTTGATATTTGAGTTAGCAAGAAATTTACGTTTTTTTGTATTAAAACATGTAAAATATGTATACAAAGACGACGTCTCTACGACAATTAATTAATCATTACTCGTATTTTGGTTCGTAGATTTTGTAGCTTTTGTTCGCGTATGTGCACAACTTTTCATTTGTCATACCGCGTTCAATTCAGCTTTTTACACAGGCAATACACATTGAATGCGATAAAATAGTGTTATTTTAGAAATAGAAAGTTAAAAAACAACAAAAATTAAAAAATAATGACATTTACAATTAACGATCAGATACTACATTTTAATTTTATATTCGAAATTTATTTTGATTCACAACATACTGAAAAAAAACATCAATTAGTGTCTATAGAGAGGGACCGTCCCTTTGCGCTTGAATTCTGAACGAAAAATCGGCTTTTTCTCCGGCCACAGTTGTCTTTGAAAAGTAAGACTATTACCAATCAAGAGCGAATAGGCTGTTTAGTTTACCCTGAAATTACCCAAATAAGTGAACGGTCCTTTTAAGGGATTGCCAGTCTTGCTTTATGTGAACCTTCTTGCAACTAGAGAGCAATTACCGATTTACAACTGGACCCTGGAAACATAATTAGTTCGTTGTGTTTCTGACTCTACAAGTGTTAATTTCTGTGAATTTCTTCATTGTTTCTTATTAGTAAGAAATGCACGAGTAAATTTTGAAGAGAAACTTCAAATGAATAAAAACATTTTTGCCATCTTTGCACTTGAAATATTGACCTGTAATAACAAAAATTTTTTAAAAGCACAATGTTGCTTAACTTTTCAAGACTGGGTCGAATTTGAAGGGTCGCAACGCCTTGTTCTTTGAATTTATCTCACTTTAGACACCACCTCAATTATACTTTTTGTATAGTGGTGTTTATGCATTTTAAATTTTATCATGAGAGCTTGCAACTTTTGGATCATTGTGATGTACCTTTGTATAATCTCTAAAGGCCTCTTTATCCTTGAGAGCGGGCTCCGGTCTCAGAACCTCGCTGAGGTCAAGCAAACTTGCCTCTTCGCAAGACTTAACAAAATTTTACATTTTCAGATATTTAAAAGAGAGAGAGAGAAACATTTTACTTCTATAAGTGAATCTTATTTTTCTTCAAGTGAATTAGTAACTATACTAATTTGTTTTGGTTTAATTTCAGAACAATTTTCTTTTAAATTTGCTTTTATTAAACTTTACAATATTTTTTCTTAAAAAAATGGATATTTCTTGCATATATCTTCTGCCGAGAAAAACAAATGTTGAAATTAGACAATTTTAAAAACATTTTCTTTTTTTTTACACTAAATATAGACAAAATAATGCACATGACTAAAGATGAGTATAGGTATACACTGAATCTACAAAATTTTGCACTTCGAACCTTCCATTTGCACTTCTAAGAATTATAATTTGTTTAAATTTTTTGAACAAATTAAAAAAACCTTATTTATAAGCAGGCGCATATTATTCCGTAGTTAGTAGCGGACTAGTAAAGAAGGGGCCTGGTTCCCAACTAAACCATTAATTCAACAAATATCTTCAGACTGGTTTTTAATAGCTTCAAAGCAAAGATTAGGGAAGATAAGACAATAGATCAGGGCAGGGGCGTAATCAGGAATTTGTCCAGGGGGGACTAAACTGTTTTTTACAGGGGGTGGGGGCTCAGCACCCGGTGGGGTCTGAAAAACCCCTGAAATCCAGAAATACGTCTCTGATCAGGGGCGTAAACCCCTCTCACCCCCCCCCCTCCATCCCCACAGACAGGAAACTGTTTTGTTTCTCAATATGTTATGTGTCTCTCGTGTCTCAAGCTGGTTGGCGGCCCAAAAATTTAACTTTTGGAATCACAAGAGTTGGAGATTTTGATTGTGCAAGAACCTGGGGAACGATCGTTCTTTCACGGGAACGAAAAAAAAAATCAAGAACGATGCCATTGTTCCGAAAAAAGTATCAAACGCTTAGAAGTGCGTTCTGAAACACGTTGGAACAATCTTTAAATTAACGAACGGTAATTAGTTGAAACTTATTCTGAATTTAAATTTCGGAATAAATTAGATTTTGCACTTCAGAGTTGAGTTTTATGTGATACAGACAGTACAGTCCAACTTGTCAAGGACAGGTCATTAAAAATTCGACCCTGAACTTACTAATTCAAAAAGTACGTAGGACATTTTGTTAAATTCAACAAAAAAAAACGATCAAAATTCGTTCACAATCTTTATCATTATCGATTTTATACCCTTAACGGCTGGACTCGTTACAAATCAAGAACACCAAAGAACAGAGAGTAACAGAACGTGGATGAAACTATTGGAAGAACCAACTATCGAGCTGAGCGAACGATAAAAATTATTACATTGTCCCACCGGAATGCTATAATCATTTAAAAATTTTATTTTAAAATTCTTTTCTCCATTGAATTTATGGAACAATCTTAGGAATTTAATTTAAATATAAATTCAGTGAAATATAGAAAACCCTAATCTTGAAATTAAAAACAATAAATTCTAGATATTAAATTAATATTCTTTTCTAAAAACATAATTTTACTAAACATTTCCTTAGAGAAATTTGAATTTAACTTTATCTGTTTAAAAATTCAGTAAATCTCAAGAAAATGTTCACGACCTGGATCCGGATCCATTTTGTACAGGGCGGAACAAGGAACAGGATCCATTTTGTACAGGGTGGAATAAGGAACCGGATCATTTTGTACAGGGCGGAACAAGGAACCGGATTCGCATAAAAATGTAATGGATCCTACGCACTGCACGAAGACATGGTTTAACACTTAACAGTCCATCTAGATAACGAATTACATCTATAAAAATTAATTATACGCCCTTTAAAGAATTTTATTTAAAACAATCTTTGTTTTTAATCCCGAACTCCGTTCTACTAATAGGAAGTATTTGACACCCTGTATGCAGATTATGATTTAAACTCCTGGATTTCAAATAGGAACTCCTTTTCCCCTTAATATTTATCATGTGACACCTTGTATGCCGTGGTCTAAATAGTTCTAGTTTATAAACCCGAATTCCTATCCCTAGGCAAGGCCTGTTTTTTAACTACGTCTTAAGTTACGGTTCAGCCATCTAAAAAAAAGAAAGCTGTTTTTTCCAATCCTATTGGCAAACATTTTACTTGCTAGAACCAAATAGATTATCAAGTACAATTGGTGGCAACATGTAAATGAACCAATTATACACGATGTCACAAGTGTCAAATATAACCAGGAAAACGAAATTTTCTCACATTATCTGACATGAATTCTCCAAGATTAAATAAAGAAGTGAAAAAACAGAAAATAAAGAACACATAAAATTGAACTTGTTTACCTGTAAAATAAGCACTTTGTTTTACGACTGTCACTATTATTAATAATTTTGTCGGACATAAAAACTGTATTGACACTTGTGACGTCAGAATACAGCTGTCCTGAGAGTGTACAAATTTTACGTTGCCATCTATTGTACTATAGAATCTATTTGGTTAGAACTATTAGCCTTCCAGCTAATTCCTTTACTTTACAAAGGTTGAAACTGTAAAGACGACTTAATGCTTTTAAGATATCCCGATTACCAGGTTAAATTAATGTTTATGTATTGAATATAACCTTTACATATAGCTTATTTAATGTTTTAACGACAAATTGAATATTAGGAAACAGAAGGTATAAATTCTGTACAGTCGTCTTTGAAGTCTCATCCTTAGTGGGTAACCCTATAGCTTTATCAGTAAACATATCTAAACTAAATCTAATGAATTATTTTTATATTATATTAATTTTTATTAAATTCGATGCAAATTTTTGAATTAGGAATATTTAACTAAGCTTTAAATGTTTGTGTACAGATTAATGACAGAGGTACAGATGAACAGATGTACAGATGTACAAAAGTTGTACATGTGTATATGTGTACAGATGTACATGTGTATATCTGTACATGAGGTGAACAGGTGTACAGGAATACATGTTTACATGTGTGCAGGTGTACAAGTTAACATATTTATAGGTGTTCAGGTGTACAAATGAACAGTAAAAATGTTGTAAATTGTACAGTTGTAAGTCACGTTACTAGGTTGAACATGAACAATGAACAGCTGAAAACTGTAGAGTTTATTATTTCTGTTAACAAGATGTGCTTTAGTCTGTAACAAAAACAGAGTGTTCTGAAGTAAGTAACGAATTTAGGGTGTCCTAAAGAATGTAACGAATACGGTGTGTTCTGAAAAATGTATAGAATACAGTGTGTTCTGAAAAATGTATAGAATACAGTGTGTTCTGAAGTATGTAAAGAATAAAGTGTGTTCTGAAGTATGTAACGAATTCAGGGTGAAACGAATACAGGTTGTTATTTCTGTTAGTTCTCATGTACGTTACATAATAAAGGTTCCAAATAAATAATGAGATATGTACAGATATACACATTGAAACATGCTTATTTAACATTTTTTAGAACATTTTTTTTACAGTTTAGTGGAAATAAAAGGGGTTGATATTTGAAGATTGAATTTTAATGGAGAGAGGGGGGTTAGTTTATAATATTTAAATAAGAGAGACATGCTTTAATTATACAGTACATACAGAAGAGTACACTGTGTAAGACTGGTGTAAATACAGTACATAAAGAAAAGTACAGTGTACAATCTGGCGTATGGTACACTGTGTACATCTGGTGTGTAATTATTGAAATATTGACTAATAAACTTTATATAGAGAAAACAACAAGTTTAGAGTGCTGTTAAGCATTTACTATTTACATACTGTTGGAGTCGAGACCAAGGAGGTATAGAACTAAGGAGGGGTTGCTTACATTTACATGGCACAAACCATTACCTTAGTTTTACACTCATTGAGCTAGACCAAGTGTACATTTACCTAGGGATATTATAATAACATTCAATACAATTAATATTTGACATTAATGTATACAGGTTCTTACATACAATTATTAAATCAGGCATTCAACATACTTGAAATACTCTAAATTTAAGCATTCAAGGATCTTTTCGTTCTCAAGCACATATCAGCTGGATATTTGAATAATCATGATATACAGCTGGGGTTTACAGGTTACAATTCATACAACAAGGCAGTGCTTAGGATCCATTTCATGTTCATGCGGATCCTGGATTCGTCCTAAAAAATGGACCTGGATCTAAAACCGGATCCGGATCCTCGTCCTCCATAGTGAAAATTTCATAAAACAAAATTTTTCCCACAATTGCTTTGCTTTTTTTTGCGTATTTTCGTGCTGAAACAAAATAAGCCATTCAGAGATTAGACAGTGTTAATTAATCTCTAAAAAGTTAACAAATAAGAATTATATTTTGAGAGCTATCTTTTTTAACCGCCTTTTCCCTTTGGATCCGGTTCCACGGAGTCAAAATAGTGCCGATCTAACGGATCTAGATCCTAAGCACTGCAAGAAGGCTTAAAATAGTTAATTGAATCGCCTTGATTAACTTTTAACAGAAAATAAACAAACTCAAACTTGATCAATTAAAGGATGCAATTAAAGACGAATTCAAAATAACAGACAATTTTGATAATTTGAAGATGGTGTTTTCTGATTTGGATGGATCAATTGTATGATCATTGATCATAAGAACTTGGGGGATCATCTTGAGGATATCTTGCAGCAAAGGGCGTTATTTATTTCTCCAGCAAAATACCTTCTTAGTGATATGATAATCCCAAAGCTATGGATAATTCTGAGTTTTCAGACGATTCCAAAGCTTATAGATGTTTCTCAAGCTTAAGATGATTCTAAAGCTGAAGATGATTCCAAAGCTGAAGATGATTCCAAAGCTGAAGATGATTCTAAAGCTGAAGATGACTCTAAAGCTTAAGATGATTTTAAACCTTTAGTTAATCCTAAAGATGATCAAGGAAAACAAAGCAAAGGTTGATCCAACGACTACAAATGATCATTAAGAAATTGATTATTTTAATGATCATTAGGCATTTGATCAATGAAAATGATCTCTCTCTGGAACCGGTATGCCTCAGCTCCCTCACATATCATAATTCTTCCAGCCTGAATAACATTTGATCAATACAACCGAAATCTGTTTATTCATAATATGAATTTGATCATTTGTTTTGTTAACTATAAAATTAATGATGTTTCAGTGAAAAATTAAAGGATTTTTGGGTAAAAAACGATCTTTACTTTTCCCCAGAGCATCAGAGGGGGGAATACTTAATAAAAAATGAGTACCCTTGGGAAATCCAAATTGTAGGTACTCTTTCTACCTTGTCTATCTCTAGGTTGAGAGGACCATGTCCCTGCAGCAGCTCCCTGGGCAGGAGTACCACCAGGAACTCCACCTCCTTCTCCACCCCAACCTCCTACTCCGCTTACTCCACCTACAGTAGAATATATTTAACCACCAGGTACTCCACCTCCTTCTACTCCACTCCAACCTCCTACTCCACAAACTCCACCTACAGTAGAATATAATTAACCCCCAGGTACTCCACCTCCTTCCCCTTCCCCAACCTCCAACTTCACTAACTCATCACCTGTAACAAGGCTAACCTAATGTAAGGGGCTGAAGAGTGTCTGTTGACTAACCTGTAAGAAAGGCTGGTGAGTTAGCAGGTGGTCCTGTACTGGTAACCGTTGTTATATGAGCTGCTCCCGGTCCTAGTATATCAATCAATCAATACATGTTTACCGTCCATTACTTTGGATAAGATACAGGGTCATGTTTTTCTTATAATTATACTAGCTGTAGGGTCAGGCGTTGCCCGTATAAAAAAAATTGAAAAAAAAGTTTTACAATAAGGTTAAAAAAAGAAATCATCAGTATCTACATAATAAAAGAAGACATTCGTATAGCTGACTAAACGGCTGGACCGAATGGGCCGACTTTTTTTGAGGGAACTCAGGGGTTTTCCGGGGGTAACATAGACTTGACTTTAAAAAATCATTTTTTGTTTCAAAATTTTATAAAAATCAAAAAAATGTTGGAGACATCTTTTTGAAGTCATGTGAAGACCATACAGAATTTGGATTCATGTGAAGACCCATACAGAATAAGGAGTCATGTGAAAACCCATACAGAATTTTGGTCCAGCCATTTGCCGTTGATTGGATACAAAAGGACAGACAAACAGACAGACAGACCAGCAAAGTATAGAATACCTGTAGGAGCTCCTATTGGAGTACCAGGTCCCCCTGCTGAAGCTGTGACAGGAAGAAATGAGCTGGTAGGAGGTTGGAAACTATGTTCTCCAGGGGTTTGACCTCCCTGAGCCTGTAGATTACCTATCAAACCCCAGCTAGCCTACACATGGAAAAATATGTGAAGGATAAGACAGGGTCAAATACTGAATTCCAAACTCGATAACCGCGTAAACATAAGTTAGATTATTTTAATTATTACAAGAGCTGGATTGACCGGCATAGAACCCAGGTTAATAAATATCTACCTGGTTTAGTGCAGCAACTCTAAGTGACGGATTGACCGGCAAAGGACCCAGGTTAATAATTATCTACCTGGATCAGTGCAGCAGCTACTATAGCCGGATTGACCAGCATAGGACCCAGGTTAATAAATATCTACCTGGTTTGGTGCAGCAGCTACTAGAGCCGGATTGACCAGCATAGGACCCAGATTAATAATTATCTACCTGGTTCAGTGCAGAAGCTCTAAGAGACGGATTGTCCGTCACAGGACCCAGGTTAATAATTATCTACCTGTTTTAGTGCAGCAGCTGCAAGAGCTGGATTGACCGGCAAAAGACCCAGGTTAATAATTATCTACCTGGTTCAGTGCAGCAGCTACTAGAGCTGGATTGACCGGCATAGGACCCAGGTTTAGACCGTGAAGACCAGGGATAGGATTATTGCTGGATTGTCCAGCTCCTTATAGATAATATAAAGTATAAATGTATTTTGACATTTAAAACAAGAATTTTTTACTGAAGTGCTTAAAAATTTAATTCATATATATATATTTATATAAAATTTTTATTAAAAGATCGTTAAAACATTTGGAAAATGTGGGATATGTAAATTTATCGACAGTGAATTTTTAATTCTTAAATTGGATTGCAACTCGCAGACTAAACCATGTTTGCATTGTGATCCTGAAAGTAGAAATATGCAGCAACAAAAAAAAGCCCCAAAAACGATAAAAATAAAACGATGTAAACGCGAACGTATTGAAACGATCGTTTTTAGATAAGGTTTTCCATTCTTTTGGAAGTGAAGGTATTGCAAAGTTTAATAATGCAAACTTTAACGTAATTAATAAAATTTTGAAATTTCTTTCTTAAATACGATCCAAAACGATTAAACCTTGTAAAATTAAAAGAAACTTTAAAAATTGTATATATACCTGTATTCCATCCTTGGCCCCCTCCTCCTCCTACGCCCATGGCCCCACCATTCCCGTAAGGGGGCTGGGGACCGAAGGGGCTCTGTCCCTTGTCCCTGCCCTGAACCGGAACCCTGGGGAAGCCAGCATGCTGGCGGGTTGGATCCGTTTTAGGAGCAGCATTTGATACATGAACAGATACTCCTTTTACTATATGATCTTCCCCACACAAAGATTGCGCAACCTGAATACATTTCTTAGAGGGACTGTACACTATTTTAATTTAACATTCTATTTAAAGAGTCAAAGCAATATCCTTGTAACTTATATCTGCGAAACATTCTCTTACTTGAAGAGACTGTAAAGGGAATATGAAACGGGGGTATAGGTGGAAACCTAAGCATTTTAGGAGTTGAATAAGACCCATTAGAGTTCTATCTTATGTTTCTGTTTCGAGAAATTGATACAAAACTGTGTCAAATTTTTACGAAAATTTAAATATACATAAACTTCATATTCATCAAATAAGCAACCAATCTGAAAACAGCAATATTCCAGAGGAACCTGAAAAACTCGGGTTTGCTCCTTTTATTATTTGAATTTAATAATTATTCATTCTTAATAGATATAATTGATAATACAATAAATACGTTCGTAACACGTGACCGTTGGTGGGACGTGATACGAACGTATAATAGTATTATCAATTATATCTTTTAAAAATGAAAAATTATTAAACTCAAATTATTAAACTCAAACCTAAATTTTAACTGATATGTTTAACCCTACGATTTTGATACAAATTTTTATATTAATATTCGTATAAATTTGACTCAGCTTTATCAATCTCTAAAGTCTTTAGTTCATTTTTCATTTTTCCTTTACAATCCCTTAAAATGAGATACATTTAGGCACTTGCTGCATTGGTTGTGCAGCAGAAATCCATAAAAAAAAACTTGAGAGAAACAAAATTAAAAATTATTGTTTGAAAAATAAAAATTAGGACTAGGAGATCTCAACCATTTATGCTGAGCTAAATATCCGGGTATTGTTGTGTACTATATTCGCACTGAGAGCCATCGGGTTGTTTCTAAACATTTCATATTTTTAGACTTTTAGGAGGCTCAACAAAACTCCGAGATGTAAATATTATTTAAAAATTGCATACTAGACAAGTTTACTTTTGTTAAATTATACACAAATTTTGCTATGGTAAAAAATTCTCAAAATATGTCAAAACGATTTTTAGTTTTGATTCTCAAAACTAAAAATCGTTTTGACATATTTTGAGAGTTTTTCAATCTTTGACCAGAGAAAAAAATGCATTACAAAATCAGATTTATCAAAAATACAATTTTAGTGAAGGACTTTAAACGTCAAAAAAGCTTTAATGTCTGAAAACGGAGCTCAATAGTACGAGGCTCAATACACTACCAGCATATTATCGAATGCTTTGAATTTACCTCCGGATCAAGAAATGTGATGAATGAGAAAGCTCTGAATGGTTTTGGAATAAAAACATCTGTGACTTCTCCAAACTTTGCAAAGTATTCCTTTAAATCCTCTGCGGCCATATCCTCAGTGCATCGACCAACAAACACCTTACAAGGAACCTGCTGAACCTAAATATAAGATATACAAGGAACCTGCTGAACCTAAATATAAGATTTAAAGATATTATCAAACATAAAGGATGTCAAAAATCAGCGCGAATTATAAAGATGCTTTAAAATGCTCATTTTTAATCTATACATTTTTCACAACCCATAAAACCTATCTTATTTTTTTAAACATTACAATTTTATTTCTATTTTCGTCGAAAAATACTAACAATCCACCACTAGTTTATATTAAGTATAATGTAAACAATAAATATGTAAATTTCCTTTTCCTTTTATTTCTATTTTAAATATTTTTTTTTTAAGAATGGGGGGAAATATTCCCATAACCTCTTTTTTTGGAGGTTTTCAAATATTTTCTCCTTGAACACTTAATTTTGAATGTTTTTGTTATTTTTCATAAATAAATGATTTCTCACTTACTGAAAAAAATATATTATTTTATCAAATATTATAAATAGAATTTTTTTCTCGACTAAATGATGTCAATAAGCCAATATTTTCTTGAATTGTGCCCCATCAAAAAATGAACCGAGAAACCCTTAAGACCGGTTTCATGCAAGAGTTCGCCTCCCCCTCCTAGTTAATACCAATTTAACACAAGTTTAGACATCAAAAACAATATTACAACACTTGTCAGTATCTATTAACGTATTTTGATTAAAAAAACTTAAATAATTATTTATGTCTCTAATAATAATTGATCATTTGATAATTTGAAAGAAACATTTGAGAAAAAATAACTTTTTTTGACGTTTTTCCACACTTTAGAATTTAATGCGCATTTATTTGTGTAAACTAATAATTTTAAATGTTTTATTATGGTTTTTTATGTCTAGCATTGTGTTAAAATGGTAAAATCACATAGGTAGGGTCACCTGAAATATGATGTACAGTCCCGTTAAGATTTTTTCCTACCTGCCCTTCTTTACTGTTTGGTATTTTAACATCACACCATCGTCCATCAATCATATGTCGTTGAGCTAGAACACGCATCTGAGCTTCATAACTAGAGAATCTTATAAATCCAAATCCTTTAGACTGTCCGGTTTTTATCTCTTTTTTAACCTAAACAAGATATTTAGTTAACAACATATCAAGGGTATATATTTCCTAGAAATATCACCCCCTCCCTTTCGTTACAAATCATATTTTTAGCCCAAAAGGTTTGTGGGGTTTTATTTTTTGGGGAAAAATAAGTTTAAGGGTAAAATGTAAAATGAAAGTATAAAAAATTGCTATTTGGTGTTCAATTTTTCATTTACCCTAAGATCGTCAAAAATCAGTTCCATCCATTATTAAAATTATAAACCCCTGTCATATATCATTGAAATTCAACTCAGTTCACAAAATGTAGGTTATATAGGTGTAATGACTATCAGCTAAAAATAAAAATCAATTTAAGTTTTTTTTTAAATGATATTTTATTTTTGATAACTATATGATTCAATGTACACCAAACTTATGCAAGGTATCCTTAACCTCAATTTTTTTTATTAATAAAGGGACTGTAATCGTAAATTTAAGTGACACTTCCTGCAAAGATAGTGATATTCGATTTACAAAGGTACCCTTGAAACCTTGATTTATAACAAATGTGGAAGATACCGTCGTTTTTCAGACTAGAAAAAGAGTTTATTTCTGTGAGATTCTTCATGGTGTCTTATAAGCAGGAATGCAAAAGAAGCCCCTCTTGCAGAGAAGTCGCAAATGAAGTTTAACAGTTTAAAGAAACAAAAACGTAGAAATCTAATTCTTACTTGAGGGTACCGTTGTAAATCGGGCATTTCCATCTTTGCATTGAAATTAAACTTGCAAACCCTTTAACACCCCCCCCCCCTTCATCCCACTCTCTTCTCACCTGCGCCATGAGAACCTCACCGAATGGTTCAAAATATTCTCTAAGTTCTTGTTCCGATGTTTTCCAAGGTAATCCCAGAACAATTAGATCCGAACATTTACTGCGATCATTTCGTTTACTCCGTCCGTTCATATCTCCCGTATCCTCCGACTTGCGTAGCTTCTCAACATTTTCTAGAGGTAATAATAATGTTTAAAAATTTACATTTTGTTAAAATATTTTTAAATAATATTAAGGATAATTTTATGGAAATTTAACATGGAGCAAAAAATTTGCTAGCTTGTATTTTCACAACCCACATCTTCGAAAATAAAAGTGTAAAATTTTTTTTTAGAATAAATAGTTTTTGTGACATTATTAACTTAAAATCATAGGATAAAAGAAAAATAAAATAAATAAAATTACTTAAAATAAAAAGTTTGAATTGTTATTTTTACTTTATCATAAAACGTGTTTACCTAATTTAGGAATAACAGCAATACAAATAAGATTTCCCCACCCTGTATCTGCAGGAGGAAACAATCTGAACAAGAATAAAACATCAAAAATTATGAAGAAAAAAAAATCTAAATATTATTTTTAAATCACAAGAAAGGTCGAGGCCGATGAAAACAAAAGATTTAGTATTCAAGTGGGCAAATTTCTCTTTTAATTATATTTTGGCTTTTGGATTCATTTAAGTATTGAGTGGCAAGTTATCATCACAATTTCTCTTTGGTAATTCAAGTTTTAGCATAAAAATTGGTGAAAAGAAAATTTTTAGTAAATTAAGTAAAACTTGAAGAAATAAGAGCTGAACTCTAGACACTACAAAAAGCATGAATTGGTATTTTTTAACTTGAATTTGAAAATGATTTTACATCTTTAATTGACAGAAAATTTTATAAAAGGATATTATCCATATCTCCTGTTCATTTGAAAGCACTAAAAAGACAGCATTTTGTAAATAAATGACAGAACTACTACTAGGGCTATTTCGTGATTATCAATCATATTTTTGTGAAACTAGATTGACAAATTAATAACATGAGATTAATGGTAAATTGTGATTTTACTGAAACAATTTTAATACAAGAAATTGTGCTTTGTTCTGGATACAATACCTTCCATCTGCTAATCTAATCCCTCTCCAGGCTCTAGTATCAGGATTTCTGAACTTGAGACCACATGCTCCAGGAAACTGGGCGGCAAGAGTAGTCAGGAGAACTAGAAAATAAAAGTTCCGATTGTTAAACTAGGTATAAGGAATACAACGACTACTTACCTTGGTATTTACCTTTTTATTAAGCACCCCCCCCCACCCACTTGATAAACAATTACAGCTATTTTCATTATGCTTTATCCCCCCCCCCCCCAGTTTAGTGGAAATAAAAGGGGTTGATATTTGAAGATTGAATTTTAATGGAGAGAGGGGGGTTAGTTTATAATATTTAAATAAGAGAGACATACTTTAATTATACAGTACATACAGAAATAATAAACAATTATAGCTATTTGCATAGTGTTTGGCATGTCCTCAGGAGACTACTAAGGACTTTAGAGAGTAATACATAACTATACAGAGGGATAGATTATAATATTTAGTCCTTGAATCGGGGGCAGGGGGCTGATCCAAAAAGCGTTTTCTGGGAAATTGCCCAAATACGTAATTACAGACTTAGGACGTATTGCGGCTAAATTTTACTCATCAAGTCCCCATTATTCCTGCGAATAGCCAAAAAAAAAACATAATTTGGACTTGATCGGTTCAGCCGTTTTGACATTTGATCGTTACAAATAAAGCATTAATCTCACCATACAAAATATTAGGGAAGAAACACGGGCTAAAGAGGCCACCGGCATTAAATTAAGTGCGTAAATACACAAAGCTGCATTTATTGTTTATTTAACCGACAGCTGGGAGGATTAAGTATTGAAGTTCTCAACCCACCTGTACCATCCTCCTCTACTGGTAGTTCCGTAGGTTCTCCGCCCTCCTCTTCTGCCACGCCCACATAACTCATCCTCTCTCTCAGACAACTAGACAGGTTGACCCGTTGTCTAATCAGACTCTCATCATCCCAACCACACACACATACACAGAACTGAGCAGCCAGCAGGGCTAGACACTTACGTAAGAATCAGCGGCAATGTACTTTTGCCTTTCTAAGGAAATTGCGAGGTTGCGCGAATTTATCTTTAAAAAGACGACATTTAATTTAGCATTTTTCTGATATTTTCTGATATTTTTGTACAGAGCGTCCCATATCATATTAGATTATCTCCAATCTTTAACGCCAAAATACGCACATAATACTCATTTCAGATTTTCATATGTATATTTCCTAAATTCATTATGATTCACATTTCAATCCCTATCCGCATATTTTGACTTTATTTTCTTTCTTTTAATTTTTGAGCTTTTCTTTGTCCCCTTTTTCTTACTTTTTGTGCATTTTTGTTATTTCTTTCTTCTGATTTTTTTCTTTATCTGGTTAATTTTACAGAACTGGTTATGGCTGATTTGAAAAGTATAAATCCATCTTCGTGAGTCAATTTTTTCTTGAAGATTTACTAGGACAAATTCTAAAAGAATATTAAAACTCTAAAAATAATTAAATTTTTAAATAAACTAGCTGGAGTGCCTGCTACTGACACTGCTGCCAGCCTATCATGCTGTCAGCAATAGTATTAATAAAAGTTTGGTTAACACCTGACAATGTCCGTGAAAATATTGTCTAATAAAGCGATAAAGATATAGATAAAAGTTAAGTCCCAAAACTGTAAAACACTGCGAACCAAAATAACATTGTTATAGGTTATAGTTTTATGAAACATTTGTGTACTTACTACTTGTCTTATTTCAATGGCTATTTATAGATTAAATAAGATTTTTAAAAAAAAGTCAAAATATAAAGTTGATTTCACTTTTATTTTCATTTCAATTGAAAAAAAACAAATATTTTGGAAATATCCAAAATTTTTAAGAGAAAATCCAGGATCCAATCAAAACTTTATAGCACACGTGCCATAATGTACAGCTAATTTAACATTAGAACGATGATTACTTTATAGCACGTGAATTATGAAATTCACGATGAAGTAAGTAAGAATGATAAAGTACACAAAACGCAAAACGCAAAACACTTATTTAACCATTTTCCCTAGATTTATAAATCACAAAAGATATAATTAAAAATCTATAAAAGGAGAAAATTACAAACAGTTTGTTCATTAGAACATTTGATTAAGACAATTTAAACTATTTTTTATGTTCATTGGAACTACTAGCCGCAGTGGTTGGGCCCCTAGCCTGTCCTAGTCGCAGCGCACGGCCCAGAAAGTGTCTTTACCCAACCTAACCCTGAAATAATGCATACATTTGAACTGGGTTTTGGTTCAGTTGAACAAGAAATTGTATTATTTCAGGGTTAAGTAAGGTTAAGACAGTTTCTGGGCCGAGCGCTGAATTTTTGTGTTTAAATACTAGTATATGAGCTAATTTGGGCATTTTACATATTTTATAACATAAAACAAATAACAAATAGAGCAGATAAGATATATCATCATTATGCTCAATCATCTAATGATCTTCCTATCTTCTGTATCTATTTATATATATTATAAAGCTCTCAGCTTCGCTCATCTATATCCATATATACTTTGCTTGTCTGTCTATTTGTCTGTCTGTTTTAATCCAATAAACGTCAATACGGCTGAACCGATCGGTCCCAAATTTTGTGTGGGACCTCACAAGACCTCAAGAAGGTTTATGAATGCTTAAAATTAGAAAATTTGCGTCAACAAGTTTTTGATTTTTGTCAAATTTTGAAAATGCGCAAAAAATATTACTTAATCCGCAAACTTTTTTTTTAGTTATTGTTTTATATTGTACAAGACTAGAAGATCCCGATAGAGCCATAATTAAAAGTTTGATTTGGATCCGGATCTATTTGTTTCCAGTGCGGATCCGGATCAAAATTAAATTAATCCTAAGCACTGGTTCCCACGCAGCTGTAAACTTGTTTCATCTATAAGTTTAAGACTATATTTATATTTATAAAAGAAACCTATTTCTAACCTATTGTTATACAGAGCTTAATAGTTTACGGTCGATCTCCTCATTAAAAGAAACCTATTTCTAACCCTTAATAGTTTACGGTCGATCTCCTCATTAAAAGAAACCTATTTCTAACCCATTGTTATACAGAGCTTAATAGTTTAGTTTACGGTCGATCTCCTCATTAAAGTCTCCTCCTGAAAGGCTAATCCTAAGCTAGCGTTACTCATATAACGTCAAAAAAATAGTAGTTTAAACGTGAGATAGAATTTATGTTTTTAATCATACCTCATCCATTGATTGAAAAGCTGTTGAGAAGAGCAGAGAAGTTTTGAATTTCTAATGTATAACTGAATAATTTGGCTTTTCTTATACTTCAAAACTAGAGGAGCTACGAGGTCACAAAATTGTTTCATTGATGTCGCATGAATTTTATCTTTTCGTCCTCTTATAGTTTGCACTGATATACATATAGACATATTTAAGTGCTCTACAGAGTAGTTATTGTCATTATTAATACTAATTATTCAAGATTAATATATTTTGCCAAGAGCTGGTTTATCATTGAATTCAACGCATATGTATATCTATTTGTATATACATATAACTTAACAATGATTACAATTAATGCAGTGTCAGGATTTAATGAATTTAAGCCGCGTCTAAAATCCCCCATAAACCGGTTTTAATTGAGCGCCGGTTTATATCTTGAAAAATTTAATACAAAGGAATTGAGTCTTTGGAACAAAATCAAATATTTAAACCTCAATATCTTTAGAACCCGATGTTGTAAACCTTTGATATTTCAAACTCAGATTATTTTATCTAACAAAATTCATTGTTTAAAATATCTAAGGTCTGCAACATTTGGTTCCAAAGATATAGTGATTATAAAATCAGAGTTTGTGGCAAAAACTCAATTCAAGTGGAACCAAAAAAAATTTGAGCCGCGGCTTAAATTTAAACCGCGGCTCAAATTCTTTAAGTTCGGCCTCAGGGTGTTGAAGTTTTTAATTATTGGCATGATACAGGGTTTCTCATAAAGAAAGAGACTAAAATTTTGAGTCTAATCACTTGCATTGAACAATCTAAAAAAAGATGAATTTCGACTTTTTTTCGCAAACATTTTTATCATAGGGTTACTCACAACGGATTAGACTGTGAAGACGACTTGAAACCCTTGAATTATGACGATTCAAATGTAAACTAACTCTTCTACCCTGAGTTTAACCTTAAATTGTTTTTTTTTTAATGATTTGGTAAAGAAGTATAAATTCCGTTCAATCGTCTCTGGAGTCTCATCCTTTTTGTGTAGCTCTGTATAATAACTGGGTTTTGCAGAAAAAATTTCAATTTTTGCAAATTTGCAAATTTTTAGCAGATTCTAAAAGTAGAGCATAAGAGCTTTCCAATGTTGTATCATTTGTCATATTTGGACATCAAACACATGAGAGAGCTTGGTACAATCGATTTGATTCTTCTGGATGTTGCAACATTAAAGTTTTCTTCTAGATGTTGCAACATTATAGTTTTCTTCTAGATGTTGCAACATTATAGTTTTCTTCTAGATGTTGCAACATTATAGTTTTCTTCTAGATGTTGCAACATTATAGTTTTCTTCTAGATGTTGCAACATTATAGTTTTCTTCTGGATGTTGCAACTTTAGTTTTCTTCTGGATGTTGCAACTTTAGTTTTCTTCTGGATGTTGCAACTTTAGTTTTCTTCTGGATGTTGCATCTTTAGTCTTCTTCTGGATGTTGCAACTTTAGTTTACTTCTGGATAGTGCATCTTTAGTCTTCTTCTGGATGTTGCAACTTTAGTTTCCTTCTGGATGTTGCATCTTTAGTCTTCTTCTGGATGTTGCAACTTTAGTTTCCTTCCGGATATTGCATCTTTAGTCTTCTTCTGGATGTTGCAACTTTAGTTTTCTTCTGGATGTTGCATCTTCAGTTTTCTTCTGGATGTTGCAACTTTAGTTTTCTTCTGAATGTTGCATCTTTAGTTTTCTTCTGGATGTTGCAGCTTGAGTTTTCTTCTGGATTTTGCATCTTCAGTTTTCTTCTGAATATTGCAACTTTAGTTTTCTTCTGGATGTTGCAACTTAATAGTTTTCTTCTAGTAGATGTTGCAACTTTAATTTTCTTCTGGATATTGCAACTTTAGTTTCCATATGGATGTTGCATCTTTAGTCTTCTTCTGGATGTTGCAATATTATAGTTTTCTTCTAGATGTTGCAACTTTAGTCTTCTTCTGGATGTTGCATCTTTAGTTTTCTTCTGGATGTTGCAACTTTAGTTTTCTTCTGGATGTTGCATCTTTAGTTTTCTTCTAGATGTTGCAACTTTAGTCTTCTTCTGGATGTTGCAACTTTAGTTTTCTTCTGAATGTTGCATCTTTAGTTTTCTTCTGGATGTTGCAGCTTGAGTTTTCTTCTGGATGTTGCATCTTTAGTTTTCTTCTGAAGATTGCAACTTCAGTTTTCTTCTGGATGTTGCAACTTAATAGTTTTCTTCTAGTAGATGTTGCAACTTTATTTTTCTTCTGGATATTGCAACTTTAGTTTCCTTATGGATGTTGAAACTTTAGCTTTTCTTCTGGATGTTGCAACTTTAGTTTTCTTCTGGATGTTGCATCTTTAGTCTTCTTCTGGATGTTGCAACTTTAGATAAAACGAGGCTGAATGCTTGGTTCAGTATAGCAAGGGTAATCAATACTATTTCTCTCTCTCTCTCTCTCTCTCTCGCTTTTATCTCCATTTCTTATAATTCCTCTCGAAAAGCCAGAGTAAGAAAAGATTTTGGAAAATTTTGTCTTTTATCATAAAAATATTGCTACAATTTGACTTTCACAATTTTTAAGTATTTTGCAAGAAAAACCTAAATTGCTCTGTGCACCAATTTCCATTATTGCAAGCATTTTGGCCAAATAGTTAGAATTGAAGAAAATTGTTTTTGCAATAAATATTTACAAAATTTCTTTACTTAAATTGAAAAAAAGTCTTTTACTAATAGGAAAAAAAATGCTAAAATAAGTCGTAGATTTTTTCATAATTTCAGTCTAACCCAAAACTTCGGAGTCATCCAAAGATTAAATAAAATGTCGTTTCTTAACCTTCTGATAATGATGGAATAATGGAGATATTTATTTTTTTAATTGAATAATTATATGGAGCTCTTTTAAAACTGTTCCTTGATATTTCATGGCTATTTTTTATTTTTAACAATTTCTTCTGAGATTTAGAAAACATTGTTACGACGAGATTTGTAAATTTTTTCGATTCTCCGAAGATTTGGGTTAAATGTAAATCGTTTTTAGTTTCATTTTGAAACAAATAACGATACCTCAACTCTAACATTCGTTTTTAAAAACGCGGCCATTTGTTTAACCGTGCACCATTCTGGGAAAAGTCTGATATAAAATTCCGAAACTATATTTTTAACTTGTATACGGATATTAAACAGTACTAGAGAATAGTTTATAACAACAAATATAATAATCTCCAGTCCAGCTTTTTTATTTATTGAAGGATAATATATATCTGCAAAGGGTGTTATTTTGTTATCATTATATATTTAGCTGAATTGGCACCTAGTATTTAAGGACTACAATGTTCATTCGTATTCAGTTAGACGCCACACGTTCTTGTACAAACATTTATCAATCGTGTACGTACATGACAGAAGTTGTACAAAAAGAATACTTTGTGCGTTAACCGTGTGCTTTTTAAATGCGCAAATTAATTTCTGCTTTTTCTTCTGTTTTCAGGTCATGTACGCTGCTGTACAATAAATATCATGTTGTACAGAAATTATGTTTTTTTATTGTTGTACAGAACGGCTGGGGAGTATTTGAATGCCCGAATGATAGATAAATAAGCACACACATTTGTACAAAATAATGTACAATAGTTGTTTATACTTAAACCTAAATTAACTGGATAAAAAATGCACAAATAACTGCGCAAAGACGAGAAAGAATAAAATGCAACTTTTTTCTCATTCAGCGAATAAATGCATTCCAACAAACAAAGGTAATTTAATTTAAAATAAGTTACAAAGTCCAAAAATGGCAAAATATGAAAAAAAGCCAAACTCTCATTCACTCATGCTCATTAAACTTATAAATCCTCAAAACGTGATGGAAAAATGTATTCAAGCATCTAGTGAATCTAGTGCTCAAAGGGAGAGCAAAATTGATCGGAAACCCGCAATTTTTTATTAAGGTTACGTCAATAAAGAAGAAGACGACAGCTATAGGAAAATCCGCAATTTTACAATATCTAGAATATTTAGTGTACACATCTTTAAACACGATCATAGATGGGTTCTGCGACATAATGTGCATGCATAATTGAAAAAAGGGAAGGTTTAAAAGAAAAATTGAAGATATTTGTGAACAATATGAACAGTTGAAATCTATCTCGAACAAAGAAACTATATGTATACATTGTATAACTTTAACGGGCCTCATTAAAAAATGGATTGTACATTAAGCTTATAAACATGTCACAAATTCTATGATGATTTTAATGCAAATTTTGTAATACATAGACGTCAAGTTGAAGAGGAATAAATAGAAAAACCTATATTTATTTGAGTTTTTTTGTGGGAAGGCAGATTAAATAATTAAATATTATAATATATTTATGGAACTTTTTGCATAAAATCTAACAAATTGTGAACTTTGAGCCTATAGCAAAAGCCTCCAAAAAAATCTAGAAATAAAGAGATTTTTCTTTGACAAAGACCGGATATAGAATGGCAGGAAATCACTGCGCGTCATTTTTTTCACCGCTGAGATTTACTGTGTTGACTTCATGGTTTTACACTTCACTGGTAGCACAGACAGCACAGTTCAGTTCATTATATTCAATTATACTGAACATTTTCACATTTTGCGAAATTTCTGCTACCACGAAACATTGCAATATTATTTATAACATTGATGAAAATTTCTAAAATGACTGCCATGATATTTACAGAAATGCGCCATTTTTCTGATCAAAGATCTGATTTCAAGATGGCGTCTAGAACTTTGACTGGTCGGGGGAAACTGGAACTGGTTCTTGGAATAGATCTCAAAAAGGTGAATAATATTCTACGCAGCAGCTGATTGTTTAGAACTCTACGTAGTGACATTGGGAGCCAGCATCTTGGACAATTCGTCATCCTGGAGACATCCCTTTAGGAACTCCTCTTCAGTCAGGTGCCCGTCATTATTCTCGTCCATCCTAATAATCAGGGTTAAGTAAGGTTAAGACAGTTTCTGGGCCGAGCGCTGAATTTTTGTGTTTAAATACTAGTATATGAGCTAATTTGGGCATTTTACATATTTTATAACATAAAACAAATAACAAATAGAGCAGATAAGATATATCATCATTATGCTCAATCATCTAATGATCTTCCTATCTTCTGTATCTATTTATATATATTATAAAGCTCTCATTGTATTTTAGTATTATTATTATTTTGTTATATTGTTTTAATCTTGATTTAATAAATTATCTTTATAAAATTGTTTGACCTGTTGAAAATATTCTTTGCTCTCTCCTCCGCAGTATCTGTAGGTTTCACTGCTCCTGCTCCCAGCATATCATAGATCGCTTGGACGATCTTTGTCATCTCATCCTGGTCGATCACTCCGTTTCCATCCACGTCGTACATCCTAAACACAGGTTCAGTCAGTATATATGAGAAGATAAAAATCATAAAAGAGCATAGAAGAAACTAGGATATTACAGTCAAATATCTAGACTTTTAAAAATCTAATTTTTTATATAAATTGTAAAATTTCATTCCCTGAATTGGAATTAGTTGCAACAAGTCGCGTTAGATGGTAGGCATCAAGGAGGTAATAATGCAAGTAAAGTTATTTCAGAGGTGTACGCATTTTTTGTACTTCAGTGTACTGTCTCTGGGCGGAAAAGTAAACACAAGACGAATGTCACAGCCTGACATGATATCCATTTTTACAAAAATAATCTATGAAATATTCTGGTCATAGGACTCTATTATGTGAATTTTCAAAATTATCAAAATTAAATGCTTTTAACCTCCTAGGATACTAAACGAACATATGCGACCGCAATTAACTTTCCTTGCATTAGTACCTTGGTAGGCATAAAATATTTTGTAGTACGGTACTAGTACCACCCATCTAGCTTGAAAGCTTCGGATTCATTTAGTGTTTATACTACTGTATGGTCAGTACAAACAATATAAAATATAAAATATAAACAATTCCTCGATATTTTTTTCTGAAAACAAACAAAATATATTTAATAAAAACTCTCATGTTAGTCTAGCATAATTTGATTTGTTTAGTTCTGCTTATATCGGTTTGGTTTGGTTCTGTTTGGTTTGATCTGATCTGGTTTGGTTTAGTTTAGATTAGTTAGATCTGGTTTGGTTTAGTTTAGATTAGTTATATCTGGTTTGGTTTAGTTTAGATTAGTTAGATCTGGTTTGGTTTAGTTTAGATTAGTTAGATCTGGTTTGGTTTAGTTTGGATTAGTTAGATCTGGTTTGGTTTAGTTTAGATTAGTTAGATCTGATCTGGTTTAGTTTGGATTTAACTAGTTCGCTTTGGTGTGGGTTGGTTTGAATTGGTTTTGTTTGATTTGGTTTTGTTTGGTATGATATGTTTGGGAATTATTTGGATTGATTTCATCTGGTTTGGTTTGGTTTTGTTGATCTGGTTCGGTTTGGTTTGGTTCGGTTTGATCTGGTTTGATTTGGTTCGATTTGGTTCAGTTTGATTTGGGTTGGTTTTGTTTGAGTTGGCTTGGGTTGGTTTGGTATAAAAACAAGCATAATTACAGTAGTTTTCCCTGAACCCTAGGTTGTTTGTTTGTTTTTCATCTGCCAAAAAATATAGAAAAAGCATTAGTTAAGCAGCTAGGAAAACACTCCGGGAAATAAAAAACAGCTTATCAACTTTGCTCCTTTAAATATATATTCTCTTAAAGGGAATGTAGACTTATCTTCAATTGGCATTTCATTTTAGAGAGATTGGCATGCCTGATTCTCAACAACTTTTGACTAAGCAAAAATAATGATTTTATCTTATCTTTAATCTTTCTAAAACTTAATTAAATTCTTCTTGTGGGCTCTTAATCGATGTGACTTGAAGAAACCAAATGTTTAAATAAAAAATTTGTCATCTGGTATCTATTTTATTTATTTGCTGTGTTTACACTGTATACACACACAGTACACACCACAATATCGCCAAATATAACATGAACAGAAAAAAGTTAAATTCTTTCTATCGAGTTAAAGGAACAGTCAACGAAATGTTGAGCACTTTAAAATTGTTAGGGGGGGGTAAGAAAAGCTTTATTTGCCAAGAATCTACAGAACAGATATGGAAAAGAAAATGTTCGTAATTTTCTCATTCCGAACAAATGATCTACTATGCATTTACAATATTACACAGCAAAAAATGAATTATTTCACCTCAAATTACGCTTAACAATCTCTTTAACACTGTAAAGGTCTGAATCTATGTATAAACCTTTGATAAGTAACAAAAGTAAGGATTTTTGAAATAATTTCCGGGGAATTACTCGAGAACAAGTTCTTGTGACTGATGCCTGGAAATTCTCGAGAAATTCTCCGGAATTGGTCCCCAATTTGAGAGATTTTTAAGGGGGTCAGAGTTTTGAGACTTAGTTTCCTAAGAATTTCTTTCTTAAAAAAAAAATTTCAAAGTGATAGTTTCAAAATTGAGAGTGCTAGGGCAAAAACAAACTTAAAAGGGCGCATCAATCCCCCCCCTCCCTCCTGCCTGTTTAGGGTTAATCCCCCCCCTCCCTCCCTCCTGCCTGTTTAGGGTTAAGTTTGATGTGGTTTTACATTATGCTATGAGAGAAAACAGTGCATTTAAGATAATTAGATAAACCACAAAAAACAAGTTTTGCAAAAAAAACCAAATGAAAACAGAACCATTTTAAACTAAACAAAAAAGGTTAATGCAAATCATGTAAAATTAACATAATTTCATTAAATATTGAAATACCTCATATTTTCAGTACTATAGCTTATAATTCTAAAGAGCTATTGAGAAGAATAAAAACATTTTGAATTTCTAATATGCAATCTAATAAATAATAAAATAAGACTAGGAGCTCCCAGATCACACAGTTTTAATTATAATTTGCATAGATTTGGCCTTTTCTTTATGTCTAGGTTGGATTAAATTGATCTTTTTAAAATGCGTTGAAAAGTTTTTCAAAAATATACAGTTTCAATGAAATGTTAAAGGTTAATATTTGGTCATATGACCAAATATCTCTTCGAATATTTTGATAAGTTAAAAGAGAGCACAATTTTAAAAAAACTTTTTTATTCTGATGGAATTAACCTATTTAAAAATTTAGCAACATTTCAACTTTTTGATTTTTTACTTCCATTTTTGAGTTTTTGGGTTTATTTTTACGGGGAATATTTCTTTATTCTAATTCAAAAGAGGAAAAAAACATTTATAAATAAACAAAACAATTCTGCCTCCACAATAGATTTTTTAGGAAAAACTATAAAAGAAAATATATTTTAATAAATTTGGTAGATTTTTGCTCTAAAACATGAACAATCCTTTCAAATCCCTTGAATTCAACGGAAGTACTTTAAAATGTTTAAACTTTTAAATTCCCCTAATTGAAGTTTAAACTCGACAAACTCGAATTGAGAACATTTTAATGGAAAATATTTGTGAAAAAAATATTTAGCCTTTTTATCCTTTCCTTTAGAACTCTTCCTGCCCTTTCTTATTCTATTAAAAGTATTCCTACCCTTCCTGTCCTTTTTAAAACTCTTCCTGCCTTTTCATATTCTACTAAAAGTATTCCTACCCTTCCTGTCCTTTTTAGAACTCTTACTGTCTTTCCATATTCTATTAAAAGTATTCCTACCCTTCCTGTCCTTTTTAGAACTCTTCCTGTCTTTTCATATTCTAATAAAAGTATTCCTACCCTTCCTGTACTTTTTAGAACTCTTCCTGTCTTTTCATATTCTATTAAAAGTATTCCTGTCCTTCATGTTCTTCCTGCTTTTTTTCCTTCTCCTTTAATTCGTTTTCTTTTTTTCTTTCTGTAATCTACCTTTCATATCTTCCCTTTCATTTTCTACCTTTCTATAACATTCCTTTCCCTTTCTGGCCTATCTGTAACCTTCCTTTCCCTCTCTAATCTATTTATAACAAGCTTCAACAATGCATAATTAGTTTTATCAACGTGGATAGTACAATATACATATATGAAAATAGATATTTGAAAAATTTACGTAAAATTGTGGTTCATGGACGGAACAGTTTTCATCCTGAACGTTACATTAACATGACTTTTGGAAGCAGGAAACACCTTAACAAAATAAATTTTAAAAGTTTTTTTAATACGGGAGCACATAAATAAACAAAGAAACTTCTCAGCTAAATGAAGTTTTGTGCACTTTCCTTCCTTTTCCCTTTCTGTAACCTGTATTTACTTGTCTACCCTTTCTGTAACCTTCCTTTTCCATTCTACCCTTTCTGTATCCTGCCTTTCCTTGTCTACCCTTTCTGTATCCTTCCTTTCCTTGTCTACCCTTTCTGTATCCTACCTTTACTTGTCTACCCTTTCTGTAGCCTGTATTTACTTGTCTTCCCTTTCAGTAGCCTGTATTTACTTGTCTACCCTTTCTGTATCCTGCCTTTCCTTGCCTACCCTTTCTGTAACCTTCCTTTCCCTTTCAACCCTTACATTACACTTCCTTTCTCTTTCTGTCATTTCTATATCATTCCATTTCTTTTTTTGCCCTTTTTTAAACATTCCTTTCCCTTTCTAACCTTTCCTTAACACTCTTTTGTCCTTTTCATCTGTCTTTGACCTTCATTTTCCTTTCTGCTCTTTCTTTCCCCCGTCCTTTCCTTGTCTAGCTATTCCCGTCGTACCTTTTTAAAACTTCCTTTCCCTTTTTTGTCTTTCTGTAACCTTTCTTTTCTTCCCCCGCCTGTTTTTCAATAAACAATTGAAAATTTTATTTATCGAATATTATAGATCTGAAATAAAATGAAAATGCTGGAGGCAGGGGAGTGTCAATCCTGATTAATTTTTAATATTTGTCAATTCTTTTAAACAACTTATTTACTCGAGGGGAGGAGGGAAATATATTGGTTAATGTTAGCCTTAATTAAGCCACTCAACACTAGAAATTGTTAATTCAGAATATAAATTTTTTCATATTTTGAAAAATAAAGAAAAAAAAAATTATTTTTTATCAAACGGGGGAAAATGAGTTTTCTCAATGAAATAATATTTTAATCAAGGGTTTTTAATTTTTGCGAGAACCTTCCAGTTCATGATATTTTACTTGGTTTAAAGGAAATGATAGTTAACACAAATTAATTCCATTTGAACTGTCTATATCTATTTATCTATCTATCTAACTATCTATCTATCTATCTGACAATTTTTCTTTTTTTCTTATGCATCATGTATTTGTGTATCTATTTATCTATGTATTTATGTATCTCTACCAATATCTCTGTATCTCTGTATCTCTGTATATATGTATAAATGTGTCATCTATCTAATTATCTTTCTATCTATTTCTTCATGTATTTTTTGGTGTTATAATGTTTAATGGCTTTATGTTGTTTAGTAATTTCTTTCTTCTTTCTTATTTTCA